TCCCAGGTTTTGGGCTCAATCTCCATTATGAGGCATGCAGGAGGCAGTCAATCAATTGTTCTCTCTCATCATTGATGTTTCTACCTCTCCCTTTCCCTTCCTCTCTGAAATAAATAAAAATATATTTTTTAAAAAGACAAATACTTTATAATCCCACCTATGTGAGGTACCTAGAGCAGACACAGACATAGAGAGAAAGTACAATGGTGGTTGCCAGGGGCTGTAAAAAGGAGGATGGGGAGTAATTATTTAATGGGTATAGAATTTCAGTTGTGCAGATATAGTTCTGGCAATGGATGGTGGCTAAAAGAGCCAGAAACTCTCAGAAATAGTGTAAGAGTGACAATGAGCTACTTTCCACCCACGCTGACTCTCTCCTGGGTCATTTTGTATCTTGTTGGTCATTGTTCATTACCAACAAGATACAAAAACAGTAACTCTTCTCATCTCAGAAAACCCTCCTTTGATCCTACAGTTCCTTAATAATATGGCCTCATTTTTTTTTTTCCTGCAGCAGTTTAGAGCAAAATTTGAAAGAATTGTAAATACTCGGTGTCACACACCTCTGTTCTATGCTCCTAGGGGGATGGTATATCAGGCACCTGATCCCATATGGAAGTTTAAAGAACCAAATACGTCCTCTTGTCCCAGGATTGGCAAGAGGGAATGCATAACCCAAGTTCAGCCAAATGGGTGCTCTCTCCTGTGACTTTGATCTTGAGAGCATGATATGAGAACTAAGGAAAAGAATAGTTCAGGTTCATTAATCTCAGTGGGACAGCATGACCCAGCTGCTTCTGGCCTGATCCTTCTGCTTTGATTCCTCCTTCCCAGTCCTCTAGAGGAGCTCCTTCTTATTTTCTGCTTTGGTCCCACAGTTTCCCATCTCTTTTGGAGTCCCTCAATGGCTTCCCCGAGTTTCGTTTTCATTATATTGGTCAGTGTTGACTTTTGTTACTTGAAAACAAAATCTTGAAGGACATAGGGAGCATTGATATTTCAGACAAAGGAGAGCACGCATGCCACAGGCAATGGTTTCTTTTGTGTGTGTGTTTTTCTGGCACTCATATCATTGCCATGGTTACTTTTGGTCATCTGCACCTTTCTTCTCCACACCAGAAATGAGAGTCCTTAATATGCAGAATGCTTAAGATTTATTCATTCCAAATTGAAATAGATTTATTTATTGTGTCAGATGTTATAATTTTTAAAAAAGCAATGTCAGGAAGATAGCAATTTCTTCCCTTCTATCATGGAAAATGAAGCCTATTTGCCATTGAACCGTTTCCAAGGGTCATACCACTCCACAGGTAGTCTTTTACAAGAACATCCTAGATAGGTATGTTGTTGCTTCAATAGCTTCTCCAAGCATAGTTTTACTCCAGGAAACATACCAGTGGTGCTTTTACAAGCTGACAGTCCAGATCCATTCAAGAGGCATCACAGTAATTTAGCACTTAAATAAAATGAAATAGAAGAATAGAACTCAGCTACTCAAGATGCAGTTCGAGAGACAGAAACATCCACTTAGGGGTTTGTTAAAATGTAGCCTCCCTCCCCCCCAACCCCAGATGCTGAACCAGAATCGCATATTAACAAGATCTCTAGCTATTTAACATGCACATTCAAGTCTGAGAAGCACTAGAACAGAAAATATATGATGATGTGATGTATAAGTGTGTTTCATGAGACTTGTTGCAATGATATGCATATGAAGATATGAATTTGGCCTTGATGAGAAATGTAGTTCTTACTGTGGTAATTTTTTTTTTTACAGTAAAATAAATTTTGGAGAGAGTAATGTAAACAAGATGGCCCAATAATACATCCTCGTCATATAGTCCCTTCCCAACAACAATAATTTGGTATCGATCCATGAACAAAAGTGACTTTGTGAGCGCTGTGGGATCTGGAACAAGATGCCAAATCGTCCAGGAAGAGTCTTTCCCACTGGTGAGTCAGGTAGTAGGTGTAAGCACCTCAGTGGTGGCTTTGGACCCTAAAGTGGCCCATGAACCAATATAGTCCCTGTGAGTGAAATCCAAGAGCCCCTGGAGAGCACTGACTTAGACAGTCACACATGGCTGCAAAAGCCTTTGAAAGTCCAAGAGCTCAGGGGGGGAGTTCTAGTGCACCATGGAGCAAAAACTGCAACAGGACGCACTGGAGAAGGTAAGAGGAACAGTTTAACTTTATGCACGCTTCTCTTCCCTCAAGGTGGCACAGCTCAGTGCCGAGATAGTCCTTTTCCACCTGTGATTCCTCTCCAGGAAATGTAAGAGCATGGAGTGAGCACCTGTTTCCCTGAGCTGTGCAGGATCCTGCCAAGAGACCCATTGCTCTTTGGCTTCATCCAGAGAACTGAGCTGTGAGCCACACGACTGAGGGGCAGTGAGTGACAGGAAAACAGCAGTAGATATAGCACCTACTCACTGTGTCACAGAGTTCATCGGGAGCCCTGCCCATCAGTCACAGGAGGTCAATTCTGTGAGCCCCAGTCTATGTTGTGCCTAAGACATGATTGAGAGCACTACAGAGAGGGAGCCATGGGTAGCCAGTCTTGTTTGCTAAGAGAGAATTGCCAGGCTGACTTGACTTCTTTTATTGGAAATATTACCAGACAGGTAAATTGAAGACATGAGAATATATCTGGATTTAAAAATAATTAAAACAAAAAAAAGAATCCCATGAAATCCTGTGGCTCAGATGAAGAAAGTGGGCTGGAATGTAATAGAGTTTTATTTACAAGTGCTTGAATGACCTTATTACAGGATGTGAATGGAAAATAACTTCTTTATTAGGATATGCCTTTGACATTTATTTATTGCTAATCCTCACCTAAGAATATTTTTCCATTGATTTTTCAGAGAGAGTGGAAGAGAGAGGGAAAGTCAGCAAGAAACATCGATGTAAAGAAACACATCAATTGGTTGCCTCCTACACGATCCCCTACCAGGGCTGGGCCAGGAGCCTGCAACCGAGGTACCTGCCCTTGACCAGAACCGAACCCAGGACCCTTTGGTCTGTAGGTCAAAGCTCTACCCACTGAATCAGACCAGCTAGGGCTGCCTTTGACTTCTAGCTGCTTCCACATGTTTAATCAGTATTTTCTCAAAAGCACGGTGGCTTGCTGGTCAAATTTCACATATCTCGACAGCGAGCCAGTTAACTAAGATGCTAGGACAAGAATTAGCTCCATCAGAATCTCAACAAGTTCTAAAATGGATCAGATATAGAATGATGGAATTTCATGGGATTGTGTAAATGGTCCTGTAAGATTACCATGAAAATCCAACTAGTGCTGAAGCTGGTTTGACGCTCAGTGGTAGAGCGTTGGTCTGCGGACTGAAGGGTCCGGGTTCGATTCCGGACAAGGGCATGTACATTGTTTGCGGGCACATCCCCGGTAGAGGGTGTGCAAGAGGCAGCTGGTTGATGTTTCTCTCTCATCGACGTTTCTAGCTCTCTATCTCTCTCCCTTCCTCTCTATAAAAAAAAATCAATAAAATATATTTATAAAAAAAAAAAAAAAAAGAAAGAAAGAAAATCCCAATCCCAACTAGTGTAAATAATACTTTTAAAAGTATGGCTTAAGAGCAAATGTGAAAAATAATTGGAATTTTAATAGATATAAATTCCATGTTAACAGAATGGTATAGTTAATAACAACAACGAAGAAGCCCATTTAATCCTACATTATGTGAATTGTGTTTGTAGTATTTAAAATAGAGGTAGAAAAGTCTCACATTAATCCAGGCTGTTGAAGCTTTATCTGAAATGTTTCATGTGTTTCATTTCAGTATATCATCCAGAGTTCTTTGAAGGAAAGCAACAGAAACCAAATCTACCCAATTCAATACACATAAATTAAAACACACCAAAAATGGGAGGGAATTTGTGCAAAGAGTAGCTCCTAAAAAAATCACGGAAAAACAACTTTCTTTTGTGGCAATCAAGAAGTAACTAGATTGGACTTATGTTCCTGCCCTAAATAAGCAAAACTTAGACAAAATATATGAAACAACTCTCTTTAGATAGAGGGGCAGGGGGATAGAGGAAAACCACGGGATGGGGAGAGCGTCTAACCTGAAACTTAGGTATGTGCCCTGACAGGGAATCAAACCCATGACCTTTCAGTGTAAGAGAGGAGCTCCTACCATGAGCCACAACGCCCAGGGCAATGGCTAATCTCAAGAACGCTGTCACAGGGGACCAATCAGCTCTTGGTTTATTTGTTCTTGGGCCACTCTGACCAAAGTTCGCACACCTGGTGGACAAGGTCCTGGACAGGAAAGGATCCTGACTGAACTTCCTATCTAGACTTTATTAAGTGTGGCAGGGTTAGTCCCTTAAAGAAAAAGGTTAACCAGAAGAGGAGGCAGGGATGCCTGTTTGTCTTCAGGACAACCAAGGAGAAGCATACTTTTTTTTTTTTTTTTTTAGGATGGATCACGTGCAGGTGCAGTTCGTGACTGGGGACGCAGGTGCATTCGCGGTCTCTATCCAGAGAAAGAAGAGTTCATGTTCATCTAAAGAAGAGAAGCGTGGTAGGACAGGGTCATTTTGGGTTGATGTGGAGCACAAACTTTTTGTTTGGAAGGTTGAGGGAGGATAGACTATTAGAAAGAACTTCTTCCCAGCAATTAGGAATTCATGTTTGTGTGGGTCGTCAGGAGACATTCTTTAGCAAGGAAGAAGAAGGCGGGCAGTCAGAGAAGTAGATTCCAGAATTGGCGCACAGCCAATTGAGAAAAGACTTTTTCTTGGTTCTAACTTTCTAATGTGGGGTTGTCCCGGGACCTCCTTGAGGAATCGGCAGAGGGAGCCCTTCCCCAAGAAATCTGCGCGAGGCCTCGCAGATATTTCCTTGCGGGTCCGGAGTTCTTTGTAAAGTAGGCTCCCTGGGTCCCACCCATCCCCCAACTCCTGGCCCCACCTTCCCCACCGCTCCGTGCCGCCCCGCACACCCGGGCATCGCTAGGTCACCCCTCTCTTCGTCCCACATTTGCCATCCCTTCCTGCCACTGCTGGGGACGGGCCCATCCGCTCCGGCTGGTGGCTCGGGCGCTGTCCCCAGTCCCCCAAACCCTCCTAAAGGGTCTAGAACACCTCCCGGGTTTTGACCCGGAGGCGCTCACTGGACGATGTGGTCTGGGCTCAGACGCGCACTCCGCCACCCGCTGCAGTAACCCCCCCCCCCCCCCCCCCCAGGTTTTCCAACTTCGTGACCCGGACTCTCGGCGGGGTCACTCTCGGACGGTGGAAGCCTCCCACGGCAGGGGCGACCTGCGGTCGGGGCGCAAGAGTCGGGCCGGCAGAGGGATCCTGGCTAGCTGCATTGGAGACCGTGCGCGGCGCCAAGCGACGCCCCCTCCAGTGGCCACTGCCCCTGCGGCGGCAGCTGCAGCAGCGGCAACTGCGTGCACCCAGGCCGGGCTCGGGTTACTCCCCTCCTCCTGCAGCATCTCGGGCCAGAAGGGAAAACCTTACTCAAGTTTGCAGCAGAGTACTTTCTCTGGTGCGCAAAACTGCGCTGAGACCAGCCTCCTTTCCCGCATTTCCACCTCTGAACCTGAACCAAGACTCCCCAGTGTGGTTCTCCCCTGGGACGCAGCTTGGAGGCGAAGACTCTGTGCGGGGCAGGTTTCCTTTCCTGGCTGGCATCCGGTGAAAACCAGGGGAAGAGGGTTGCATTGCGAATCTCAGGATCTCTGGACCTGGGTAAGAGTTGGGCACGCTCAATGCTGCAGACGCTGGACTTTGGCAGGATGGTCGATGGTTTCTTGGGGGGTGGGGGGGTGGGAGGGGGGCGAAGGGGAGAAGTGGGGAGACATGCTTTCCTTCTCCAGGATATCCCGGTTCTGCATGAGGTCTGGGAGACGGGCCCAGCCTAGGCTGTTTACAAGGGTTTATGGTTATTGTTTACAGTTGATCCTGTTACTTGGGACTTTTAGGGACTTCTTGGAGTATTTTTCATGGGGAGACAGCCACACCATGCATTTCATTTTACATAATTTCTGCCCTGTATTGCCTTGTCCGTTCTGTGATGACGGGTGTAGAGAAGCTTGGGAGCAATAAGACAGAATGAAAAGTAGTTTCGCAGGACCTTCCTTTGAGATCAGCTTCCCTTCTCTGGGATCTTGACTTGTTTTCTAACTTTTCTTTCTCCGGTACTTGATATTCAGATGGTGCCCATGGACCTGGGATAGTCCCACATCCCCTGTTCTCAGCGTCCTGTCAGGGTCAGGATAGCAGGCTGGGTGGCTTAGACCAGAGGGTCTCTTCCTTGTATGCATGCCTAGTTCCTCAAGGAATGTTGGAGGAGGTTGGGGAGAGGTCATTCTTCAAGCCATAGTTACCATAGAAAGATCTATGTCATGTTGCTCTTTTAAATTCCTTTGATCTAGGACTTTTACCCCTGGATTATGGAAATATTTTTTTCTTTTTTCTTTTTTCTTTCTCTTTTCTTTCTGGAAGTTAGAATGATCCCACTGAGTAAATGAAGTATAATGAAAATTTAGAAAAATATCCTCACATGAAAATCTAAATTCTTTTAAAATCTGTTTTTATTGATTTCAGAGAATAAGGGAGAAGCAGAGATAGAAACATCAATGATGAAAAGGATTCATTAAGAGGCTGTCTCCTGCAAGTCCCTCACTGGGGGCTGAACCCCAAACCCCGAGCATGTGCCCTGACTGGGAATCAACTATGACCTCCTGGTTCATATGCCAATGCTCAGCCAATGAGCCACTCCGGCTGAGCAAGGACCCAAATTCTTTAGAGGAAAATTAAAGATTTGATTATTCCAAAAGTTTTTAGGTTCCCAAGGCAGAGGAGAATCACATTCCTTCTTGGCTCTCCTTACCTTTCTCCTTCATATCCTGGGTCTCACTTTCTGTGGGGTCTTCTCAACTTGCTTCATTCCTTATGGATGAAAAGACTGGGACCAGGTCATATTCTTCAGAAATGTCTTCTGCCTGGTGGGACTGCTCCAAGAGGTCAGCTTGCAGGGTGCTTTTTGCTTTGGTGCCCTGAGCTTAGAGAGCTGAGGAGATCATGAGCTCTGGGACCAGGTAGCCTAAAGTCAACTCTCAACTCTGCACTTTCCAGTTGTGTGATTGGGACCAGGTAGCCTGAAGTCAACTCTCAACTCTGCACTTTCCAGTTGTGTGATTTTGGTCATTATTTAACCTCTCTATTCTCATCTATAAAACCAGCATGATAATGCAGTGCTTATACCAGAGGGCTGTTAAATGGATTAAATGAGTATAATGCATGTGGTGTGCTAACAAGCTTGGCAGATGATAAGCAAGTAAGTATTAGCTATTATCATAATTAGGCTAATATTGGTAACTTTTGCTGTATTAGGATAATAGAGCTTTTATTAGCTGCCAATATGTTGGCTATTATTTCTCTTTGGATGGCTTTTGAAGACCATTCTCATTTGGGTTTGCCTCCCCCCAGAACATAATGTATTGTCAGATTTACCACAGACATGATCTTTCTGTTGGGCCCCTTTGGAGGAAAGAAAGTGTATGTAGCAGGGCTGGGATTGTAGAGGGGGGATCATGGTTGTGTGCCAAAGGGTTATTGATTGGGACAGGCTAGCAGGTGGGATATATACACTTAGTTTACAATCTGTAAACTACACTGCCTTAGAAACTCCTTGCATTAATATACTTCCTTTAACCTATTTTTTAAGAGGTCAATCATTTATTCAGTAGTTATTTATGAAGCATCTATTATATTTCAAGCACTGCTCTAGGTTCTATGTGAGGTTCATTAGCTTTATTTAAAAAAATGGATATGCATGAGTATTTACTTTATTACCCCCCCCCCAATTTCACACATATTAGGGCTTTATGTAATACTAGCACCCTATAAATTAAATCTCAAATATTTTTAGCTACATTTCTTTTAGTAACTGTTAAAGTGAAGAACATGCATCGCTGAAAAATTGAACAAAATATTCAGTATAATTTCTAGCAGGGTTCTTCTCCCCCATCAGCTTCAACATAAACTTGTGTAGGGAGGTGGGGGAAAAAGCTGAATAACTTAGTGTTCCTTCTGGCTCTAAAATCTTTAAATTAGTAGCCTTTATTGATGGTTGTTTTTTAAACTTTCTTTGTTTAAACATTTGCTTTGAGTACATAAATATGTCACTTCTATTGTTGCATGTTAATCAAAGTAAGTAATGACACAAATAATTAGTAAAAAAAGGAAAAGTATTTAGTTCTGCTTGTATTTCATCAGCTATTCTAGACTTTGATGTATATCAAGCATGGAGGAGCTTGTTAAAAATAATAGATTGAATTGTGAGAAATTGCCAAAGTTTGACATTTTGACCTACATAAAATGGAAATTCAATATCGTTCAACCTAATATGAATCCCAGCCCCCGCTGCTCTGGTTCAGACGCAGTAAGTCTTGGGTGAAGTATGAAAAGTCTGCAGCTTTACCAAAGTTCCCCAGATGATTCTAATACAAACCCAAGTCACATGCTTATTTAGCAGCAATGGCTTTACCTTCCTCATGATCATCTTTTTGGCCCATTAGCATATTTCTAAAATACAGATCTGATCATGTCATTTCCTCTTTTAAAAATCTATGGCGAGTCCCCAGATGGTGACCATCAGTGTCACCAGGTGCTTCTTAAAAATGCAGATTGCAGGGCTGTACCCCAGATGTAAGGGCCAGAAATCTGCATTTAACAGATCCCCTAGTGATTCTGGAGGAGGTGACATCATATCACACTTGGAGAAACACTGGCTTATAGCAGAAAGCTATATGATACAAATGTTCAGGTTTGTACTGTCTTCTCTGTGTTGTCTGCTTCCCTGTCCTCCAAGCATCTAAGCCCCACTGATCTTGATCTCACTACTTTTCCTTGGAGAACACATTGCCTGCTTTCACTCCTCTATCACCTAGCTATGTATGCTGTTCTGTCTGCCAGAAATGTCCTTGCTCCTCTTTTCAATCTAATCAACTATTTACTACCCATTTATTCTTCAAGATACAGTTCAAAGAAGACATCACCTCTGAAACATTTTCTAGTTCTCATAAACTTAGAGATGTCTCATATGATTCCTACTCTATTTTGTGGATAGCTTTAATATTCTCTATCATATCGAATCAACTATGTTTGTTGTCTGGAGATGACTACACCTGGGTGATGAGATGATCATTTCCTATTTATCTAAATGGCTGGCACATAGTAGTTACATAATAAATACCAAAAAAAAAAAAAAAAAAAGTAAGGGAAGAACAAATGAATGAACAGTAGTTGACATTTTCTTAGCATCCCAAGTGTTTGGGACAGTCACTATATACAGACTGAGGGCTGTGGAGAAGCCAGTTAAGAATTTACAGTTTGGTTAGACATAGTCTAGAAAGTGAGTAACCTGGAGTGGAAAAAGGCAAGATAGAATAGCCTAAGATGACTTATGAAACACCAGATGCCACTGAATTAATGTCACTATGGCAGCACTATGATAAGCCTGAGTTTATCACACCTTTGGGATGGTTTTGGTTGTGAATAACGGTGTTAGGGCACTGAAATAAAGTGCCAATGCCAATAGAAATAAACAACTTTTGCCTTGTGCTTTTCAATTTATAAACACCTTTGTATTTGTTTTTATATTTGATGGTGACTCATTCGGCACTGTTTTTTCTACTTTAGTATAGTATGCATTTCTAGAAATTGGTCCAAAGATTGTGCAAAAGCCTACATGTTATAAAGGATGCTTGCTGTAGAGGGCCAAATTTATTATAAAATTTTAAATTACACCTTGCCATTAGACATAGCATTCAGGTTTAATGTTTTAATTTTTTTCTTTAAACTCCTATAATTTTAGTTATTTTTCTTATCTGAACAACAGTTGACTGGCTCATAGTCAATAAATGTCTGGTTCTGACTAAAGATTTGCCATTTTGGGCATGACTAATAACTTCTATCTTTATCTAACTTATATTAAGTTTATGATGCAAAACTTTCTTATAATTACTATTATTTTTTAATTCTTATTTTTTTCATTTTTCATTCTTTTTTATAATTAATGAGAATATACAATAATATTTGAACAAATGAACAAAAAATTGTAGGGTAATGACAGAGCTGGTGATGCTGCAAAATGGAACTTTTATCTCATGGGCAGCTCCACCATAAAATAAACAACATCTAAAAAGTTCACTTACTGGCTGACATATGCGAGTTCCAATGTCATAGGGCAGGATGTTAACAGAATTAATACGTGAAGTAAAATGTCTAGATTGTTTAAACTTCAAACAAAGCCAAATTAATGCCAGTGATCTCAATTTCTCAAGGATGTGTATCCAGGATTTCATTCTAAAAATTAGCTTAGTTTTAAGAATTAAGTGAGATTCATTGGATTCTGTTGATTTGTCTTCATTTTTCAATCCTCTTTCCAGAATGAACTCTTTAAACCTTAATTTAAGCTTGCATTTGGCTGTACTCTTATAAGTTTCTTACCTAGTTTCCTAATGTCTTCATTTATTCATTCTATTTTTCTGAATTTCCCAAGATTTTGTATTTCTCATGTCTCTCTTTTCTTCACAATTTAATACTATTTTTCACTGGAGTCATCCTAATGCTTTTTAAAAATAGTATTGCATAGGATTAACTTATAGCCCTTAATAAGAGGATTTCTTATAGAATGAGGACAAAAGTAAGATACAAACCAGTGCTATTTTACTTTATTCAAC